GGGCGGGCCACGGCCCTGGCACCACGCACAGCCCCAGCACCATGCACATCCCCAGCACTGGGCATCCTGCTCCGTGCGTGGCCCTGGCACCCTGCATAGTATGCCATGCACGGCCCTGGCACCACGCACAGCCCCAGCACCATGCACGGCCCCGGCACCGGGCATCCTGCTCCGTGCACGGCCCTGGCACCACGCACAGCCCCAGCACCATGCACGGCCCCGGCACCGGGCATCCTGCTCCGTGCACGGCCCTGGCACCACGCACAGCCCCAGCACCATGCACGGCCCCGGCACCGGGCATCCTGCTCCGTGCACGGCCCTGGCACCACGCACAGCCCCAGCACCATGCACGGCCCCGGCACCGGGCATCCTGCTCCGTGCACGGCCCTGGCACCACGCACAGCCCCAGCACCATGCACGGCCCCGGCACCGGGCATCCTGCTCCGTGCACGGCCCTGGCACCACGCACAGCCCCAGCACCATGCACGGCCCCGGCACCGGGCATCCTGCTCCGTGCACGGCCCTGGCACCACGCACAGCCCCAGCACCATGCACGGCCCCGGCACCGGGCATCCTGCTCCGTGCACGGCCCTGGCACCACGCACAGCCCCAGCACCATGCACGGCCCCGGCACCGGGCATCCTGCTCCGTGCACGGCCCTGGCACCACGCACAGCCCCAGCACCATGCACGGCCCCGGCACCGGGCATCCTGCTCCGTGCACGGCCCTGGCACCACGCACAGCCCCAGCACCATGCACGGCCCCGGCACCGGGCATCCTGCTCCGTGCACGGCCCTGGCACCACGCACAGCCCCAGCACCATGCACGGCCCCGGCACCGGGCATCCTGCTCCGTGCACGGCCCTGGCACCACGCACAGCCCCAGCACCATGCACGGCCCCGGCACCGGGCATCCTGCTCCGTGCACGGCCCTGGCACCACGCACAGCCCCAGCACCATGCACGGCCCCGGCACCGGGCATCCTGCTCCGTGCACGGCCCTGGCACCACGCACAGCCCCAGCACCATGCACGGCCCCGGCACCGGGCATCCTGCTCCGTGCACGGCCCTGGCACCACGCACAGCCCCAGCACCATGCACGGCCCCGGCACCGGGCATCCTGCTCCGTGCACGGCCCTGGCACCACGCACAGCCCCAGCACCATGCACGGCCCCGGCACCGGGCATCCTGCTCCGTGCACGGCCCTGGCACCACGCACAGCCCCAGCACCATGCACGGCCCCGGCACCGGGCATCCTGCTCCGTGCACGGCCCTGGCACCATGCACAGCCCCGGCACTGTGCACAGCCCCAGCACTGGGCATCCTTCGCTGTGCACAGCCCTGGCACCCTGCACGTCCCCAGCATTATGCATCCTGCTTCGTGCACGTCCCCAGCACCCTGCATGGCCCCAGCACCCTGCATCCTGCTCCGTGCACGGCCCTGGCACCCTGCATCGTATGCCATCTGTGCACAGCCCCAGCACTGGGCATCCTTCGCTGTGCACAGCCCTGGCACCCTGCACGTCCCCAGCATTATGCATCCTGCTTCGTGCACGTCCCCAGCACCCTGCATGGCCCCAGCACCCTGCATCCTGCTCCGTGCACAGCCCTGGCACCCTGCATTGTATGCCATGCACGGCCCTGGCACCACGCACAGCCCCAGCACCATGCACATCCCCAGCACTGGGCATCCTGCTCCGTGCGTGGCCCTGGCACCCTGCATAGTATGCCATGCACGGCCCTGGCACCACGCACAACCCGATCCAGCACCACGCACA